TTGGTAGTGCTTACATATGAAAATTTAACATTACTATTTTGCAAACGGGTTGTTTGACTAAATTATTTTCATGTTTGAAAAACCACTTCTTGACATGGAGCAATGAGAAAAAGTTTTTTGAAATGGACACGGTGAACATTTCTTTTCTATAAGGAGAAGTGCTGGCTCTTCGTCTGTGCACCACAACCCTCTTGAGAAGAAGAAATACAGGGACAAAATTACATGGCAACATGCTCAACCTTAAAGACATGATAAAGAGAACTAGCTGCCTTTACACAAGAAATCTGGCCTATTCTCAAAGCCTTAAGCTTATGTCAAAAGCCAGTGTTGCTTTCCATCCATACATAGTTCTGTATATTTTAAGGTTTCATCTACATTAAAATAACTTATACTGGATCTTTTCGATTCAGTAGACTGGGTTCCACCAAATAGTTAAAGCCTTAATCATTGGGTTTTGTGCCTCCGAACATATTCGGAGCGCACACGCACACACATACACACAACATACAAAAGCTCAATGATTTCCATCACCATTGTCAACCCACTGTTAGAATAATTCCCTAGCGTGCATAACAAGATCAATTCAGGTAAAACAGAAAGCACCCATTAGGTAAGGTAAAAGCAACAGTATTTTAACAAACGCCATGTGTGAAGCAATAGCAAAACCGCCTAACATTTGCGGCACATAACATCAACTTTAAAATGTCCTTATTTTCTGAAAATGGATCATTGGTGTGAAACCAATACTTACATAAAACTCAGTTTAAGTTATCTAAATGATAGTTTACAGTCGACTCCTTGCTTACAGTTTCATTCCAAAATGAATTTCCCAGAAGAACTTGAATATTTTCTAGAGGAACAGATTGCGAAAACACGATGTGCATACAGACCACCAAACTACACATTCCCTCTTTGATTAGAAATCCGCAGAATAATTTATTTTCAGAATACATGTCACCTCAAATGCCTGATTTCTTAACCTTAAATCTGAACTTGAGCAGGTTTTTAAAATGCACAATATCATAACTTTATCATAGCAAATTAATAGCTTTTCCTCATAGAGATGATGAGGGAAACGAATAACCTAGAATAATGGTCTTAAATTTTTTCTTGCTTGTTAGGCAAGATGATGGTGGAAACCCAGCTTGGTTTCAAAGTACACGTGTTAACTCTTAATCATCTGAAGTTGAGCTAGTCGCATCTAGCATTTTGCTGGTATATTTTCTACACACACACTATCTGGTAGTTTGTAGAATATGGAGAATCCTGATTTTTTTTTTTTTACTATGAAAGCTCACAGAACCCCACCAGACTGCTAGTTTGAAAGGCCTTTTGCAAATGGCGTATACATCAGGAGAGGCATTAAGTGGGAATTAACTAAGGAGAGAATTATAGTAAGACCCTTTTGATGGTTTTCCTTATTGTTTTAGAAATATTGTAACTGACAAGAATGGTGGAGATCACCATTACACAGAAACACAAAGAATTCTCTCAAAGTAGGGTATAAATGATTTGGGAGCTATTAAGTTCTCATTGGTCAGGATTTGTTCATCAGACAAATACTTCAAGTTTTATAGCAATCATTTCAAACTTTAGACTTTATTTACAATGGTAATTTTCATATTTTTATTACTTAGAAAATAATTTATATTTTTCCATCATTTAAACAAAGCTCCTGCCTTCTGCACGGCTTTTACCGTTAGGAAAGTTCTCTGGGAAGGGAGGAAAGGGGACATGGGGAAAATCGCACATAAACCATCTACGTACAGCTAATGAACAGTCTGCGTGACATTCCATATCTTTCCTTTAACATTACTGGGATTGCAATGGTTAGGATTTGTCCAGCGATTCAAGCAAAACAGAGCAGACAGAATTGGGTATTATGTCCTTAATAAGTAGAGGCTTTCTGAAACATAACATGAAGAAACTCCTTCATGTTAGATGAAGACCGATATAGAAATATTCCTGTACAGAACTACTATCTTCATCTAAGGACAAAAGCAGATCTTGCATAAATGACAAAAATAATAGTAATTTTACAGTTAAGAAGAAAAGCAAAAGTGGTGTTTCAGCCAAGAAAATAATATTCTAAATAAATATTCGACTTAGATCACTGGAAAGACAGCCTATTAGCATGTTGAAAATGACACCAACAACACACAGAATATACTTGGACTTTGACTTAATGGAGAGCAATGAGTTCTAATTTTTCCCATTGATTTTTATGGCTGTCTAAAAAATTATCCTTTTCCCTAACTGTGCTAGAAACTCCTTCATTCGAAAGACCTGAGTTTATCTAATGGCACCTATAAGTAGGCTCATATAACAATGTAGTAATTGCAACAAATAACACTGGCACCACAGGAAGTAAGCTCTGAAGATGGAAGTGAACACAGTAATATTGCTGTCACCAAGGAGGCAAAAACATCACCAGCGGAAAATACCTTTATATGTTCCTAGGCATCCTCGGAGATGGCCCAGGTTTGTATCAAAGTTACACATTTGGTGGATCTCCAGCCTTTCAACTGACATCTAGTCTAAACATAATGGCTATTTAAAAAAATTATCCATCTGCCTGGATTGATGAACACAAATCTGGAACTGAGATATTCTCATTGTTTAGGTCCTTAATACTCCTGGTATTTCAGGTACCTTAAAACAAAGCAAATAAACACAACCAGGCAGTGGCTAAGACCTCCTGGCTGGCTTAGGCTTTGCAGCTTTAATAAAACTGCTTATATACAGCTATGGGTTCACAATGGCATTGTCATTCCAATCACCTAGCTTTTCCCTATATTTATATTAACTCTACAGACATATAACCATTTGGAAAAGGGAAAAAGATTAATGTAAGTACAATGGTATGTCAGCCTCTTCCTTTTGTTTTTTATTTGCAAGGGATACACAACAGCTCAATTCACTGAAGAAATATATTTGACTCACAGTAAATTTTGCAAATGTAGAGACACACAGGCAATGCTAAGAAAATGGAAACAATTCAGTAAGTGCTAAATAATGAAGACCTGGTGTTAACACAGAAGTAACACTGAAACAGATTATAATTATTTAGCTAAAGTCTGCATCCATTGGATAGTTTTTATATTTTCCTCTGTACTGGAAACTTTGCCTTAAAACCATGTTGATTATCTTATCGTGGTACCATTGCCTAATTTAAAAAATGCTATGGATTACTGTAAAATCATGCTTTGGTAGGGGAGAATTTACATTTGTGAGAAACAAAGGATTTTTTTTTCAATGTAAACACTCCTTTCTATGACTTCAGAGAAGGTAAACAGTAGAAATTACAATCAAGATTTTCTTGGAAACGACGGTTGCTTAGACAATGAGCAATCTGTATATAGAATGGGAGGAGGAATTATAACCAAATCTATGGTGGAGAGAAAGGGACACCAACTATAAAAATTGGAGCTGGTTAACTCTTTCATCTTGAAGTCAAAGATTCAAAATTCATTCAATTAGCAAAAGTTACTACTGGAAAAAATTTTTCAGCATCCTCATTAAATTAGCATAAATAATTGCATGAGATTATCGTTTATACTAGAATAGGTAGATGAATGGTTACCCACAGACCTCCATGCAAACAAAATTATCATCTTATTCCTAGGGTTGGAGATAGCTACCACGTATAAAAATGGTGATTAAAATATAACTTTATAAAAATGTTTCCCTTTTCCCTTTTTTGTTTTTTAAAAAAGAGTTTACTATCTACAGAAACCAAAAAAAAAAAAAAGTTCTTATATATTTACATCACATAACTACTCATGACATATATAATAATATGAAATAAAATATTGAAAGTGAGTATCAACTTTTTAAATAGAGGTTTGGCTCACAGCATAAACAAGTGTAGATAAACAAACCAAAAAAAAAAGAAAAAAAAACTTTCAAAATAGCCCAATCACTAAATAATCCTTCTACAAACTTCCCTGTCAAAAGAAGCGTGATAACAGGCCAGACTGCAGACAGAGGTTTCCATCACACAGTGTATGAAATACCACACAGAGGGAGTCAGAGGGGCCTTCACTCCCAAAGACAATCTTCTACAGCTGTCAAGGACCGTGTCTTCCTTACGTCAACACCAAAAATCTAAGTTGCGATGTTTTTTCATCTCTTGCCAGGAAACCCATAGTGAATTTCTGTTTGCCTTTCTTTTCTTCCTAATATATGATTTGCAGCAAATCAAGAAGACACAGGAGATACTATTAAGTATAATTTCCCATATCTCTGGCATCCTTTTAGAACTCTTACCTGCCTGCAGCTCCTTTTGGGTGTTTAAAGAATGCCAGCCCCTTAAAAGGTGATTTGATCTTAGGTAAGTGACACACATACTCACAAGCAGCTCATATATACTCATTAGCGAAATAGACTGGAAAATGCCTCCATCTTCCAGGATTGAGCCTGGAGCGCCTCCAAGTGGTGGACAGCAGTAGTACCAATCACGTGGCCCTTGAATGCCCTCCAAGTGAAAAGACCTCTAGCTAAATAAAGGGCATTTGGAATGGCTGCCTTTCAAAGACTCTCCAGAGCGAGTTTCCTTCTGTTTGTTCACATGTACTAAGTCATCTACTACTGCTATTCTACAAACTACTGAAACCATAAAAATGTCTCTACTTTTACAAACACATTCACACAAACTCTCTCCTCTTACAGAAACACAGAAACACACACACACACACACACACACACAGTGTTGGCAGGATATATCAGAATTCAAATAATTCTCTGGAACTTTCATCCCTCAGTCTGAAGAGCTAAAGCTGCTTAGTCGTAACCTACATTAGCTGCACCATTTTCATGCTAAGTCACATCACTTCCCATGCATTTTGTTTTCCTTTATGATTTATTATCACAGTGACCACTATGTGTCTTAAATGAACATCACTAAAATGTGGAGTCAGTAATCCTGGCTTTCAGTGTGTATGCACACACGTGTGTGTGTGTGTGTTTGCATGCGTGTGTGTGACTATGTTTTATATATATCTATGTGGGAGCCTATACACACACACACACATATATATTTCCTCCATACAAAAAAAAAATATCCACAGAAGCTGGTGTTGTGGTGTGAAAGCTTCTTGGAGCAGCAGTTTTTAACAATGTACCTCACTGTAAAAATAAACACATAAAATGCAAAGGACCCCAAAGTGCAATAGCCATTTCCCCATCTTCTTTCATTTCTACAGTGTTGTGTCTAAGTGTTGTGCTGGCTTGAAAAGGAGTCCATGACAAATCAACATATGTTTGGAAACTCAGCCCGTTCTATGCAGGGTCACTGGTTTGGCTTTGGAGCCAGGGTTTCCTCTGCTCTTGGTTTCCCTTTTTCTTCCTCCTCTTCCTCAATGGCCTGGATTTGCTCTGAGGCATGCTGCTGAGCAGACTGGTCCAGGGCTGGATTTGCAATGCCAGACAATTGCTGCTCCTCCTCAATGACTTTCTTCCACATCTTATGGTTCTGCAAGAGGTGCTGAGTTATTTGGCAGTAGATTTTCCTCCTTTTGAAAGTTTTCTTTCCTAAAAAAAATTGGAACACCAAATTGTATATTTATTGGTAGGCTGAGCACATAGAAATAATTTTCTTTCATATTGATAATGACTTGAGCCTGGGATTTAGCTCAGTGGTTCCACCACCTGCCTTGCAAGCGCAGGGACTCGAGTTCCATCCCCGGTACCAAAAAAAAAAAAAAAAAAAAAAAAAAAAAAAAAGAGTTAAGAA